CTGTTTGTTTTGTTGTTGTGAGTTCCTTATATTTTTGGATATCAATCCCTTAGGGGATGTATCATTGTGAATATCTTCTCCCATTCAGTAGGTTGTCTTTTCATGTTGTTGGTTTCCTTTGCTGTGCAAAACCTTTTTGGTTTCATGTAACCCCATGTGTTTACTTTTTTTGTTTCCCTTGCCTGAGGAGACATACCCCAATTTTTTTTCGCTAAGAGCGATGTGGAGGAGTTTATTCCTATGTTTTCTTCTAGTTATTTTAGGGTTTTGGGTCTTACATTTAAGTCTTTAATCCATTTTCAATTTATTCTTGTAAACGGCATAAGAAGATGGTCCAGTTTTATTCTTTTGCATATATCTGTCTGGTTTTCCTAACATTTATTGAAGAGACTGTCTTTACCCCACTGTATATTCTTGCCTCCTTTGTCTTCCATGACCATGTAGGCATGGGTTTATTTCTGGGCTCTCTATTCTGTTCCATTGATCTATGTGTCTGTTTTTATGTCAGTACCATGCTGTTCTGATTACTATCACCTTGTATATTTTGATATCAGGTAGTGTGATACCTCCAACTTTTTTCTTCTTTCTCAAGATTGCTTTGGCTTTTTGGGGTCTTTTATGGTTCCATATAAACTTCAGAATTATTCTAGTTCTGTGAAAAATGCTATTGGTATTTTGATATGGATTGCATTGGATCTAGAGATTGCTTTGGGAAGTATGGACATTTTAATGATGTTAATTCTTCCACAAGTACGGTATATGCTTCCATTTATTTGCTTCTTCAATTTCTTCAGTGTCTTACAGTTTTCCAAGTACAGTTCTTTTACTTCCTTAAATATATTCCTATGTATTTTTTTCTTTTTGATGAAATTGTAACTGGGATTTTTTTTTTTTTCTGAAAAGATTTTATTATAAACAGAGGGATGGGGCTCAGACTTTCTTGGCTGCTGCTTTCTTATGACAGCAAGGACATCGCTCAGCTCTTCTTCCTCGTGGTGCAGATGTGTGTGCCCACCCCTTTCCTGATAAACTCCAGGACCCAGTTGTTCTTAGAAACCTTGAGCAGCTTCATGACATGCAGCTCATTGAGGGCAAAGCCACACACCTCTCAGATTTTGTCCCACACAAACCTGTGTGCTTGGTGAGGTGCCCATGGCGGCAGCTGTGCATTGCCTTGATCACGTTCTTGGTCACCTTGTGTCCTGTGTTGAGGTGCAGAGCCATGGGGCAGCAGAGCCTGGCTCCTGCTCCTCAGTGGCTGCCACAGTGGAAGAGTTTTCTTAATCTCTTAAGATTATTATTCATTATTGGTATATAAAAATGCAACCAATTTCTGAATATTTTGTATTCCACTTTACTGAATTAACTTATTAGTTCTAATAGTGTTTTGCTGGACTGTTCAGTGTTCTCTCTATAGAGTATCATGTCATTTGCAAATGATAGTTTTCCTCTTTTCAATGTGAATGCCTTCTATTTTTTTTTTTTGTCTGATTGCTGTGGCTTGGACTTCCAATACTATATTGAATAAAAGTGGTGAAAGTGAACAACCTTGTCTTGTTCCTGATCTTAAAGAAAAAGCTTTCAGCTTTTTACTATTGAATATGTTAGCTATGGGTTTGTCATACATAGCCTTTATAATATTGAGGTATGGTCCCTCTATCCCCATTTTGCTGAGTTTTTATTATAAATAGATGTTCGATTTTGTCAAACACTTTTTCTGAAAATATGGATATGATCACATAATTTTTATTCTTCACTCTATGTGGTACATTATGTTAACTGATTTGTAGATATTGAACCAGGCTTGCATTCCAAAAATAAATCCCAGTTGATAATGTTGTATCATCATTTTATGTATTGCTAAATTCATTGCTAGTATTTTGTTGAGTATTTTTGCATCTATGTTCATCATGGATATTGGACTATAATTTTCTTTTTTTGTAATGTCTCTGATTTTGGTATCAGGGTAATGCTGGCCTCATAAAATGAGTTTGGGAACCCACTATCCTCTATTTTTTTGCTCTTGATCTTAGCCAAAAGGCCAAGAAGCATTATGTCTTTAACTTTTTTGGAATAGATTGAGAAAGATAGTAATTCTCCTTTGAATGTTTGGTAAAATTCACCTGTGAAGCCATCTGGTCCAGGTCTTTTGTTTGTTGGGAGTTTTTTGATTGCTGATTCAATTTCATTAGTAGTTATCGGTCTGTTCAGATTTTGTTTCTTCTTGATGAACAGGACCCACTTGTTTCAGTCATGGAAGATTGTATGTTTCTAGGAATTTATCCATTTCTTCCAGACTGTTCAGTTCGCTGGCATATAATCATTCACATTTCCTTATAATGCTTTGTGTTTCTGTGGTGTCAGTTGTAGTTTCTCCCTGATCATTTCTGATTCTATTCATTTGGGCCCTCACTTTTCCTTGATGAGTCTGGTTAAAGGTTTATCAATTTAATTTATTCAAAGAACTAGCCTTTGGTTTCACTGACCTTTTGTATTTTATTTAGACTATTTTATTTCCACTCTCATCTTTATTTCCTTTTAATCTCTTTGGGCTGTTTGTTGTTCTTTTTCTAGTTCTTTTAGGTGTAACCTTAGATTGAGATTTTCCTTCTTTCTTGAGGCAGGCCTGTATTGCTGTAAATTTCCCTGTTATAACTGTTTTAGCAGTGTCCAACAGATTCGGGGTTATGTTTTCATTTCTCTCAAGGTATCTTTTGATTTCTTTCTTGATCTTGTTAACCTATTCATTGCTTATTATCATGTTTGTTAGCCTTCATGTGTTTGTGTTTTTCAGTTTTTGGTAATTGATTTCTAGTTGCACACCATTGTGATTGGGGAATATGCCTGATATAATTTCAGCCTTCTAAAATTTATTGAGACTTGTTTTGTGGCCTAATCTGTGGTCTATCCCAAAAAATATTTCACATGTTTGAATAGAATGTATATTCTGCTTTTGAATGAAATGTGCTAATAACATCAATTAAGTCCATCACGTGTGAGTTAAGGCCACTGTTTCCTTGTTGATTTTCTCTCTGGACAATTCACTGTCAATGGGTCGTAAAAGTCCCCTACTATTTATTACTGTCAACATCTCCCTTTACTTCTGTATTTTTTAAAATATATATTTAGGTGCTCCTACATTGAGTGCATAGATGTTTACAAGTTATATATTCTTGTTGGATTTATCCCCCAACTGAGTCCACCTTTAGGGTCTGTTGTTTCTGGAGCTGGCTGGGTGGGTGGTGCTATGGTGTGGCCTGAAGCTGGCCAATGGGCTTGTTCGTCTGGAGCGGCTTTGGAGGGACCCTGGTGCAGGGTGCATTCAGGCACTGTCGTGAGTCCGCGTGGGGCTGTCGGGAGGTGCAGTGTCTGGGGCTGCTTGTGAGTAGCTCACTGTATATCGAGGCGGGCTGCCACTCATGCCAGCTTGGGGGCTTTTGGTGGGCACCATGATGTGAGCTGAGGCCAGTCCTCACTTGTGACAGGTATGTGGAGTCTTGGTTGAAGCTCTGTTCCAAGGCAATACTGACTGCAGCTTATGCCAGGCATTGGGGCCACCTGATGGAAATTACAATGCAAATTGAGGCCATTGCCCCTTAGCAAGAGGCATAGGTCATACTCAGGACAGCCGCTGCTTTTCTAGGGTTTGTGAGCCTTTGAGAAAGGCAGGCTGTTTGTATGGAGAAGTAGCTTAGCAGCTTGGGCTGCATGTGGAGTTGGGTGTGCAGGGTCCTGGGGAGTCCGAGGGCAGGGCAAACTGTGCAGGGATTAGGCTCTCTCCTGTCAGCTGGATGGGCACAAGGCTCAACAAAGGAGCAGTGGCGCCTGCCAATATTTATGTTCCCAGAGAGAGCTGGCCTGGCACAGCCCCTCCAGCCCTCACCCTGAAGCCAGTCAATTAAGTTCCTTCTATGTCCTTGGTGTCTTTCGAGCTGCTGCCCCTGAACTGGAGCCTAAGGTGAGCTGTTTGTGAGTGAAGTCTGTGTGTGGCCACGCAAGAGGAATGCCTGGGGCCCCAGTGGCTGTCCATCTCACCCGGATGCAATCCCCACTGCGCTTCATGGTTAGATGTTATGGGGGCTCCTCTTTCCAGCAATAGGGCCTCAGCCTGGGGAGCCCAGTGTAGGACTGGAATCCTTTGCTCTTTGGATGACCTCTGCATCAGAGAGGTCCCTCCCATTTCTCAACTGTAGCACTGTGGGCCTGGGATCTACCTAATTTGTTTCTCCATCCCTCCTACCAATCTCATCTTGGCTTCTTTACGTCCTAAGTTATTGGGATTCTGTTCAGCCAGTCTTCAGGTGGTTCTTAAGGAGGGCTGTTCTATAATTTAGTTGTAATTGTGGTGTGGTCATGGGAGGAGGCGAGCACGTTTATCTACTCCACCATCTTAACGGGAAGTCCCCTCTGCCCACTTTTCTGGGTATCTACAAATGTCAGTAACTAGGAACTTGTCTCATTTGACTCTCAGTATATTCCACTGAATGGATAAGCTATAAGTTGCCAGTCTAACCGATGAATGCAAAGTGTTCTACTACCAATAATGCAGTGAACATCTTTTAATGTATACCCACAATTCAGGTATACGTGCCACATTAGATAAAGATTTAGCTACAAGAGATTTTCATTTATCCAGTAATTTTATTGTTTTGCTCAAACTGATAATGACCACTGTAAATAATTTCTTAAAAAGTTACAGAAAAATCACTGCAACTCTGAGGAAACCAGGTAGCACATTAATCAACATCCTTCCACATATAAGATCATAACAGGAAGGCGCTGACCTAGTTTTCTCATGAATGACATGTCATGACAGCTCTATATCATTTCTAAAAAATTTATCGGGGTGACATTGGTTAATATCATAAACTTCAAGTGTCCAATTCTCTATCATCAGTATACTGCATTGTGTGCTCACCGCCCAAAGTTTAGCCTCCTTCCATCACCATATATTTATTTGACCCCCTTTATTCTGTCTATCCTCCCTCATCCCCCTCCGATAACCACCATACTCTGTTGTGTCAGCGAGTTTTCTTGTTGTTGCTTTGTTTTCCACATGAGTGAAATCATGTGGTTCTTGTTCTTTTCCATCTGACTTATTTCGCTTAGCACGATACTCAAGATCCATCTGTGTTGCCATCCATGGCAACATTTCATCCTCCCTGTGGCTGAGTAGGATTCCACTGTATATATGCACCACGTTGTCTTTATCCAGTCATCTATCAAAGGACACTTAGGTCATTTCCATGTTTTCAGTACTGAGAATAATGCTGCAATGAACACAGAGGCACATGTATCTTCATGAATAAATGTTGTCAAAATTTGGAGGTAGGTACCCAGAAGAGAGATTGCTGGGTCATATGGTAGCTCTATACTTAATTTTTTGAGGAACCTTCATACTGTTTTCCATAATGGCTGTACCAATTTACATCCCCACCAGCAGTGCATGAGGGTTCCTTTTTCTCTTGTCTTGATAATAACCATTCTGACAGGTGTGAGGTATCTCACATCTGTTTAGATCTGCATTTCTCTTAGAGCTAGTGAAGTTCAGTATCTTTTCATATATTTTGGCCATCTGTATGTCTTTTTGGGAAAAGTGTCTGTTTAGGTCTTCTGCCTATTTTTTAATTGGACTGGCCTTTTTGTTGTCGAGATGTATGAGTTCTTAATTTTGGATATTAGCCTCTTATTGGAGATATCACATGCAAATACACTTTCCCATTTGGTTGGCTGCCTTTTTGATTTGTTGATGGTTGCTTTTGCTATGCAGAAGCCTTTTAGTTTGATGCAGTCATATTATTTTTGCTTTTACTTACTTTGCCTTTGGGGTCGAATTCATAAAATCTTCTGAGACCAAGTTTTATAAGTTTAGTACATCTGTTTTCGTCTATGTATTTTAGTTTTTCATGTCTTACATTTAAGTCTATAGTCCATTTATAGTTAATGTTTGTGTATGTTGTTAAATCACAGTCTAGTTTAATTCTTTTGCATGTAGCTTTCCAATTTTCCCAGCACAATTTGTGGGTTTTTTTTTTTTCCAGTTTAGCCCTTTAGTTCTGTCACTTTATATACTGTGGTACTCCCAGGTTGGCTGCATATAGTTACATCCTCTTGACATACTGTCCCCTTTATCATTATAAAATGTTCATCTTTATTATTTTTTATGTTGACATCTATTGTCTCATAGAAGTATGGCTGCAGCCACTTTTGTCTGAATGCCATTTGTTTGGAGTATCATTTTCCACCTCATCGCTTTGAGTCTATCTGTCTTTGCAGCTGAGATGTTAATCCTGAAGACAGCATATAGTTGGATTTTGTTTTTTGATCCATCCCGCTACTTTGTGCCTTTTAATTGGTGAGTTCAGTCCACTTACATTTAGGGTGATTATTGATATATGAAGATTTCTTATACCCATTTTATCCTTTGTCTTGGTAGCTCTGTGTCTCCATTGTTTCTTTTCCCTTGTGGTTCTGTGTTGTTTCAGTTTGGTGGTATTCTATGATTTTTCTTGTTTTCTCTTCGTTTTATGTTATGTCTCAGTTCCAGATTGTTGTGTGTGTGCGGTTAACATTCGGTTTATGCAAAAGAAAGTTTCATACATACAGTAGTCTCTTTTCTTCTGATTGCATTTTATCTCCATTCACTTGTGCAAGTTCAGTCGTTTTCCTGCCCCTTTTGTTGTCACAAATTATCCTTTTATGCTTGTGCACATTTCTAAGTTGCAGTAGCTACTGTCCTTTAAAAAAAGATTTTTACCTCTTTTAACCTTTACACTGTATTTAAATGTTTAATATCCCATTCTTAACAAAGGTTGCGCTTTCCTGCTTCTGTGTTGGTCATCTTACTCATAGTTTTGTATCCTTTTGTTTGCCTGTTTGTTTCAGGTAGAGGAGCACCATTCAGCATTTTTTGTAATACAGCTCTTGCGATGGTCAATTCCCTGAGCTTCTCTGTATGTCTGGAAAAGCCTTTATTTCTGCTTCACATCTAAAAGACACATTTCCTGGATATATTATTCTTCGATGATCTCTCTCGCAATAATTTGAAGTATTTGGTTCTACTCTCTCCTAGCTCGCTGAGTTTTCTGCTGAAAAAAAGTCCGCTGATAATCTCATGGGGTTACCTTTATAGGTTACCATCGTCTTTTCCCTGGCTGCCTTGAGAATTCTTTCTTGTTATTTTTTGAGTTTTAATATATTGTGCCTTGGAGAAGCTCTTTTTGGATTGACATAATTAGTTTCTTGGAAAGGGATCCAGTCATGGGTTTGGGAAGTTATCATTATTTGTTTGAGTAAGCTCTGGTTCCCCTTCTCATGCTTTCTGCTGTACACCTTCTTATATCAGCACGTAGTGGTCTTTTCCAGTAGGTGGCGCTGAAGCGCAAGTTCTTTCCTCTTACCCGCCCTGCTGGACTTCCGAGGTCGCTGTGGGGCAGTGGAAAATGCCCCGGATTCCCCGAGGAGGTGGGTGTCCCTGTTATGACTCAGTCGCCTCAGCCTCGGGGAGCCACTCTGTTCGATTGGAAGTGGCGGGCTGTGGGGCCCCTGTGTGTCCCCAGTGCCACCTTCCTGCAGCCAGAAGCCAGGGGCAGGAGCCGGTCTGTCCAAGCCGACTGGCCGCCCCTTTGAGGCCCTGCAGCCACAGGTGGCGGAGGGGACGGCTCCGCTCTTGCTGGTGGGCTTGGGCCCAGCGAGCACAGGGCTCTGAGGCTGGTGTTGTCTTCACCCTGTCCAGTCCGCAGAATGGACCCCTCGGCACGGCTTTCCTGACCCTGGGCCCGTGCGTGCGGCCACCCAGGCCTTACCGGTTCCCCTGCCCTGCTGGCCTGCCCGTGGGGAATGGGCTGCACCCGGCCGCTGGCCCTGTGCACCCCATCCCGGCGCCACTGCTCCTCAGATGTGTCCGCCTTCAGACACACACCGCGGGGATCTCTGAGGCGGGTTTGCGTGTTGGGCAGCTGTCCAGCTGTCCAACTTGTAACTTCAAGGATGACCTGGAAGCTCCCTCAAGCCGCCATGCTGTTGACATCACTCTTGTCTATCATTTTTCATGGCTGTATATTTTTTGAAATATTTTGAAATATTTTGCTGATACTTATTTTCTATTAGTTCGGTATAAACATCTCTGTGTTTATCTCAAGATGTTCGGTATAAACATCTTGTTTCTCGCCTTTTCTGTAGTCTCCTAGGCAAAACCTCCACTGCTAAGATTGCCAGGTCAAAGGCAGGGTATTTTGATATGTATTGACCAGCTAATGCTGTTCCCTTCTACCAAGAGACCTTGAACATAGAATGCTGTGTAAATTACAGGCCATCTGAATTGTTACATTTAATGAAATTTCAATCAGAATTAAACAGGTGACAAAATTAACGTCCTTGAAATCTGTCTAAGTCCCACCTCAAGATGTCTGGATGGAGGAAGGACTATGCACAGAGGAGGCAATTTTACCTGAGCCTGCATGGACATAATGAGAAGAAACCAATTATTAACAACTCAAGTTTACTAAAACTTTATCATTAATAACTTTCAACACTTTCAAACAGTTTGAAATGATTAGGGTTCAAATTTTCCAATCATATAAATTCAGTATGTTATTAGATTAAAAAAAAACCAGTACTTTTCAGTCTAAAATGCAAACTAATGATCGACTAAATATTACACTGTAAACACGGGTGATACTGTACAAAAAACCGGATGGGAGGTGGGAGCCGTTCATGAGTCTTGCCCAAATTTGTATTATTGTGGATGACAGAATTACGTAATTTTCTGTACTTCGGTATTTCCTGAAACTAATCTTATTAAGACTACTTGCAGGATTCCTTTTGAGTATGTCGTTATGAATGTAAAGTAGGGAACTGACTAGAATTTTAAAATATTTGTCCTAATAAGAGGAGTTTTCTCACTTTATTTAGTAATCGCTAGGCACCTATTACAAGTCAAGCAGTTTTCAAGGTAGAGAGTGGCGAAAACTCCACTGCCTGTGTGGAGGTTACATAGTAGCTGATCTCGATTTTACCAATCATTACACTTTTGTTAAAGTCCTGTCCATAATCTTCATTTATTAGCCCTTTCTTCTGGGTAGACTCCAGTGAAATTTAAGATTCTTCTGTCGTGTTCATCTTGAGAATTGGGACATTCAAAACTCTGGTATAACCACTGACCGTATTTAGAAAACCAGTTTTCTTTCATGTAAAATCTGATATTTATAAAGAAATTCACCTCCCGATTGAGTCCATAAAACAGTATTTGATAGAGCTTCTTTCCTGTGACAATCTCTTGAAGCTTCTGGGTTCTGAAGGAACTTACCAATGGTGGCAGACGTGAACTCCATCTGCAGGCTACGTCACACCTCACATTTCTATAGATCCCCTCCGGAGTGGATTCTCTGGTGGTATACCAGATGTGACCTCTGGCTGAAGCCCTTACAGCACACATCACAAATGTAAGGCCGCTCTCCCGTGTGGACCCTCTGATGTGTGTGAAAATGTGAGGCCTGACTGAAGCCCTTTCCACACTGCTGACATGTATAGGGTTTCTCTCCGGTGTGGACCCTCTGATGAGCACTGAGCCCCGCACTCCAACTGAATTCTTTCCCACACTCCTCACATTTAAATGGTTTCTCGCCAGTATGAATTATCTGGTGGACTTGAAGATTTGACCTCTGGCTGAAGGCCTTACCACAGGTATCGCATTTATATGGTTTCTCTCCAGTGTGGACTCTCTGATGGGCTTGAAGGTGCGAAGCTTGACTAAATCGCTTCTGACACGCATCACATTTGAATGGTTTTTCCCCAGTGTGAACACTCTGATGGGCCTGAAGGTTTGAGGCCTGACTGAAACCCTTACCACACTCCTCGCATTTATAGGGTTTCTCTCCCGTGTGGACTCTCTGATGGTTGTGAAGATTCAGGCTCCAGTTGAAGCGCTTCCCACACACCTCACATTTGTATGGTTTTTCTCCAGTGTGGACTCTCTGATGGGCTTGAAAATATGAACTCTGACTGAAGCCTTTACCACACACATTGCATCGAAACGGCTTCTCTCCCGTGTGAACCCTCTGATGGCTCTGGAAACTTGAAGCTGAGCTAAAACCCTTGCCACACTCTTCACATTTATACGGTTTCTCTCCCGTGTGGACTCGTTGATGACTATGAAGATTAAAGCTCAAACTAAAGCATTTGCCACACTCATCACATTTGTACGGTTTCTCTTCAGTGTGGACCCTCTGATGGGTATGAAGATTTGAGCTACAACTAAAGCGCTTACCACAATCCGTACATTTATATGGTTTCTCTCCAGTGTGAATTCTTTCATGGGCCTGAAGGTGGGATCGCTGAGTGAAGCCCTTCCCACATATCTCACATTTATAAGGTTTCTCTCCAGTGTGAACTCTGCAGTGAATATTCAGATCTGTGCTACGACTGAAGCCCTTCCCACAGCTTTCACATCTATAGGGCTTCTCTCCTGTGTGAATGGGCAAGTGAGCATAAAGGTGCGAGGTCTGGTTAAAGCTCTTACCACACTCGAGGCATGAGTAGGGTTTCTCCCCCGTGTGGACCCTCTGATGAGTCTGCAGGTTCGAGCTCTGACTGAAACCCTTGCCACACTCATGACACCAATAGCGTTTTTTCCCCGCACGAGTACCTTGTTGAATGGAGATGGTTGAGCTATAACCGGGCTCCTTCTCATGTGTACTGTATGTTAGGGACCTCTTTCCCAGGTGTACCTGCTGATGAACTTGAAGGCCGTGGCCATCGGTGAATGCCTTTTCGAATTCATCACACTGGTAGGTCTGCTGTCCTGTGGGGATTATACTGAGCTGGGCAAGAGGGGACACCTCCGAGACGTCTTCGCTGCAGTTGCTGTGAGCTCTCTCTCTCTCGTGTACTGTAGCATCATCGTGGTGGCGTGAAATACAACTGAAAATGTCAACACATGGAGCAAATATACATAACTTGTTTTTCACTGGTGTCTGCTCACACCTCTGATAATTCTGTGTCTCATTTAGACATATTTTACTCCAAGAATTTCGGGCTCCCGCAGTTGGAAATATTTGGTTTTCATCACTATTGGAACGATCCCGGGTCAGATTCATCACACGGCTGCCTTCCGCGTGAGCCTGAGCAGCTGCTCCTGCTCCCAGCGGGCAGGGGGCGCCACGCTGTTGATTATGTATCACGGAGTCTTGACTTTTGCTTAATTTACTCACAACGTGTCTCTTGATTTGCCAGCACGAAAGCTCTCCCAATGAAAGGCACCTTACTCCTGCTTCGTGAACAGTCTCCATCTCATTTTCATTCCCGCCTGAAAGGAAAAAGAGAATAAAGAAAGGACAGAGATTGGAATCAGCAAAAAGGCGAGCCAGGAAGCTCCAAGATCTTGTTGCTCTCATGGAAACATTAAAAAACAAAACAAAACAAAACGAACAAAAATTAGAGACTAGAAAATATAAATATATGAGTTCTGAAAACAGTCAAACATCTACAGCAACCAAGAGAGCACATCCGATTAAGAAAAAGCCACCTTCAAAACGTATGAGATTTGGGATCAGCCCGGATGGAGGGGATAAGGTCTTCTCAGGTCTTTTCTCAGCATGCCTTGTCTGGGGCTGTGTGAATGCTTTTTTTCCATTCCCCACTATACAAATGCTTTTATATATTTCATCGTTTTTATTTGTGTTATACAGTATGGTCTAAAGGATGTAGCAGCCTATCTATCTCCCAATTCCCTACCTCACACTGGATAGAGCAGAGTACACCTTCCTTGCAATATGTAACCTGCCGTGGGGATGCCGAAGGAGCCTGTTCTCTGCTTCGCCTGACTCGGAGACAGGATGGGGAAAAGCAGTGGAAAGCGGCAGTACACAGTGTTGCAAGGTCCAGTGGGACTACAGCTATGCCAAAGCCTGGAGGAAGAGATTACACGTGAAGGAATGCACTAGAACATCTAAGTTCAAGAAGGGCCAGGGTGGCACTTTTTGGGAGATGAAGAGATTTAAAGGCATCTGTGTAGGAGAGAAATTGAAAAAGCCCAGGAAAGACATTAGTTCAGAAAAACACGTGAGAAGACCCTAAGCCCTCGCCCCGGCCAGACCCCGAGGCTCAGAAAACACCTTGCACATTAGTCTTTCCTGGACGAGAGCTAGTCTACAAATGCTTTTCCTCAAACACTCAATCTTCAACAAAAACAAACAAAAAACCTAAAGGAAAATGTAGCCTACTCAGAGGAAGAAAATAGAGGAAGCAAACCATCCATGAGGAAACAGGTATCAGAGTATCAAAGACTTTAAGACATGTTCAAGGAGCTAAAGGACAGAGACGTAAGCAAGATGGCAGAGCAGGCAGCGCCAGTTCTTCTTTCCACACAGTAACAGCAGATAACCAACAGCACACGGGGAAAAATTGTTTTGAAAACTTTAAAAAACCAGTTCAGAAGCTGCAACAACCCAGAGAGCATCTAACCAAAAAAACCTGAACTCAAAATTGTGTAATGAAGGTCTCCCTCGATGCAGAGACAGAGGCGGCTGTTTTTTTCAAATGCTTAATTTTCAACAAAAGATGAGAAGGCATTTAAAAAGCAAGAAAACATAACCCAGCCAAAGGATGAAAATAAATCTCTAAAAGTCAACCCTAAAGAAACAAGACTCTTAACTACCTTGAAAAAAAGTTTTAGCAATATTTTAAATATGCTTAATGAGCCAAAGAATACTGAAAGACATCTAAATGAAATCAGGAAATAAGAGGAACAAAATGAGAATATCAACAACGAAACTAAAATTGTAAAAATTTTTCTGAAGCTGGAAAATACAAAAGAATGGAAAACTCTAGAATCGTTTAACAGCAAACTAGAGCAGGCAGAAGAATCGGTGAACTTGAAGTAAGGTCACTTAAAACTACCAATTATGAGGAGCAAAAAGAAGTGAACAGGTAAGGGGCGTATGGGGACATCATCAAGTGGACCAAGGGACAAATGGGAGGCCCAGAGGAGAAGAAAGAGACAGAGAGAACTAATTTGAAGATTCGAGGCAATACCAATACAAGAAGCTCAAAAAACTTCAACGGCAAAATAACCCCAAAGACCCACCTCAAAACACATTCTAACAAAACTGTCAAGTCAAAGAGAATCTTGAAAGCAGCAAGAGAAAGTCAACTTGTTATGTGCAGTAGCTCCTCTGTGAGATTACAAGCGCTTTTCTCAACACAGACCTTGCAGGACAGAAGGCAGTGGGATGGCGTCTGCAAATTACTGAAGGAGAAAAAGACTCAACCAACACTATTTTCCAGCAAAACTATCCTTCAAAAACGTGAGAGTCCTCCACCATCACCCAACCACCCCATCCCAGAATAAAAAAAAAAAAAAAATGTGGGAGAAACTGAGACATTCTAAGATAAAACCCGAGGGAGTTCATTACCATTAGATTTGACCTACGAAAAAATGATAAAGGGAATCCTTCCATTTCAAATGAAAGACTATTAGACAATAACTCAAAAACTTCCCTTCAGGGAAGTGAGTCACATTATAGTTGAGTAAAAGGAGTCCAAAGAGAGTAAGTAACAGCCTGATCTGGTTTGGGGACAAGTGCACGTTCTTTCCACTCCGCCACGCATAATTTATATACTAAGAGATCATGAACAGTTTCTCACCAAATAATTATGACTTAATCTTTTCCCAGTTCAGGGTCATCATCAGTCTAAGCCCACTCGTGCTGACCTAAAAGGGTGTGGAGAAACTGGTGAGAACGTAAAATGATGCAGCCACTGTGAAAACAATACGAAGATGCTGCTAAAAACAAAAAAATAAAACAAAAAGAAGACAGACCATAGCATCCAGCAATTCCACTTCTGGGTACGTACTGAAAATAAATGAAAACAGAGCATCAAAGATATTGGTACATTCATGTTCTTGGCAGCATTACTCACAGAGGCCAAAAGGTGGCAGCAACCCGAGTGTCCGTCAGTGGACGAATGGAGACATACATGCGGTATTTACACGCAATGGAATATAGCCTCAAAGAGAAGCAAATTCTAACACTTGCTACGAAATGGATGACCCTTAAGGGCATTATGTTAAGTGAAATAAGCCAGTCTCGAAAGATAAATACTGTATGCTTCCACTCATGAGGTTACTTAGTCAAATTCGTAGAAAATAGAATTCTGGTTGCCCGGGGCTGGGCGTGGGGGCCGGTAGTTAGTGTTCATTATTAAGTACAGAGTATTAGTCTGGGCAAATGAAAACGTAGAGATGGACGGTGGTGATGTCTGCATGACAATTTTAATGCGCTTGATGAGACTGAAGTGTACGTCTAAAGTTTTGTGTTATATATACATTTTACCCCATTAAAAAAATTAAGGACAAATGAATCCTTTGTTCAAATATTTCAAAATTTCACACAGTCCTCAGTTTTAGGCTTTAGAACATAAATCCTTCAATTTCACTTATGCTGGGTTTTCTTTTGCTTCATGTGCCCGTGGAAATAGGTGCTGGTTTCCTAGGCGCTAAGCATTGATGCGACTCACCGAGAACAACAGGTCTAAGAATAGACTATGAGACAGAAATCAGCCAGGTGCAGAGCAACGTAAACATATCCCGGGTTCTCAAAAGGGAGAAACTGACTTCCCTGCCAATACAAATAGTAAGTTAAAAGTATTCTCTTCTTCACTACGGCTACTGAATCCTAAGCAGCATCTACATAAATCAGGCTAAATACAGGCTTCGATTACAGGGCCTCGCTGTCCAACCTGCACACCGGAAATGTGTTCAGAACAACAGAACTGTAAGGAGAAACGGACATGTCCACCATTATACTTGGAGATTTCACCAATAACTAGCAAGACAAGTAGAAAGTGAGTGAAGGTACAGAAGATCTGAACAATACTATCAACCAACTCTGACACCTGGCCTAAAGGAATAGTGTCACCCAACGGCAGAAAACATTCCTTCAGGTGCACATGGACTATAACGCCAAACGCCATTTTTGGGTCATGAAACAAGTTGTAATAAATGCAGTAAGATTCAAGTCATACAAGGTATGTTGTAACCACAACTGAATTCAATCAGAAATTAACAACGCAAAGATCTGAAAAATCCCAAGTGTTCAGAAAAATAACATTACTAACTAAACTGCATCAAAACACAAGAGACAATATAAAGGGTATTTTGAGCTGAATGATAATGAAAACATCAATTTGTGACATCTACCACAACAGTACTTGGAGGAAAGGAACAAAGGTCTCCAAGAAATGAGAAAAACAAGCAAATTAAACCCAAAGTAAGGAAAACAGATACACACACACAGTCACACGTTACTTACTGATGGGGATATGTTCTGAAGAACACGCTGGCAGGTGATTCTGCCATCGCGTGAACCCCACGGAGTGCAGTTACACATGCCAGCCGGCCTCGCCCACTGCGCACCGGGCCGTGTGGGGGGCCTCGCTGCTGCTAGGCTCTGCGCCTGTACAGCGTGCTACTGTTACTGAACTGAACCCTGCCGGCAATCGTAACAGTGGTTAAGTATCTGTGTATCTAAACATATCAAAACACGAAAAAGGTACAGTAAAAATTTGGTGTGAAAGATAAAGTGTGTGTGTGTGCGTTGTGAGGGCTGAAGGAGGGCTGTGGGAAGGAGAGCGGAGGTCAGGAAGAGGGAGAGAGGGAAAAAAAAGGAAAGAAAGAGACCCAGAGAGAGAAATCTTGAGACAAGAAATAATCAAAGGGGGAGAGGGAGGGAGACAAAATGGAACTGAGAGGAAAGGGAGAAACCAAGCGAAGGGAAATGAACTGTGGCTGCACCTGTAGGGACTGGCCGGAGGCGGGGGCGCTCCCCTCCTCCCCAGCCCTCTCCCCTCACTCCCTCAATTCTGGGCCCAGTTTCTGGCCTGTGCAGGGTAGATGGACGGCATGGTGAGCCAGCCTCCTTGTCTACTTAAACCACCCAGAACTAGCAATAAATTCAACATCTTAGTAGGGTCCGGCCTTTTCGTTCAACATAAACTTTTTGCATATAACCCATTCTAATCTTAGGGGATTACTTGTCATATAACCAAAAAGTCATTATGTAGCACTTGATTCTCTCTCTTTCTATACACACATACCAGCAAAAATCAAAGAATGAAATAGTCAAAAAAAGAAAAAGTTAATTCTCTGAAAAAGAAAAATGATAAACTTCTAGCATTCATAAAAAAAAAGTTAAAATATTGGGAAAGAAAGGTGATGACTTTACTACAGATTGCACATATATTAAAAACATAATGAGACCTGGCCCCAAATAGCCAAAGCCATCTTAAGAAGAACAAAGCCGGAGG